GTTGTTTTGGCGGGTCCGGGCTGGGGATTCGAACCCGCCACCTTAGGTGTACGTGGCTGGCGCCTTAGCCGGTTGAGCCATAGGCGCCGAGCCAATATTCTTATAAAAATATTAAATTTATGTTAACATACAGTGGGTTTATTATTTCAAAATTAATCAACTCATTTTTAAAGATTCCGTTTTAATTTCCACATATATAACCTACATAAATAAAATGTGTGTGTGGGTCCTGGATAACTTTTAAGAGATTTAAAAGGCATCTTGGGGCCAGAAGGTTTCAGACTGGCTACGTTACACTTTTCTTTCTTTTTCAGACACTGTGTTGCCCAGCCTAGAGTGCTATGGTATCAGCCTAGCTCACAGCAACTGCAAACTTCTGCACTCAAGCAATCCTCCTGTCTCAGCTTCCCTATTACCTGGAACTACAGGCACTCGCCACAACAATCAGCTAACTTTTCTATTTTTAATAGAGATGGTGTCTCACTCTTTGTTCATGCTGGTCTCAATCTCCTGAGTTCAAGCAATCCTTCCACCTTGGCCCCCCCAGAGTGCTAGGATTATAGGCATGAACCCTGTGTCTGGCCTTGTTATGCTTTTCTGAAAATTAAATTCTATCAAACTAATGTTACAAATATGTACAAACAAGTGCTTACCAAAATTGGGTGGAGTTGGAAAAAAAAAGTAAAAAGATAATGGGCTCGGCGCCCATAGCTCAGTGGTTAGGGCTTTAGCCATATGCACTGGAGGTGGTGGGGGTTCAAACCTGGCCAGGGCCTGCTAAATAATAGTAACAACAATAACAAAAAAATAGCTAGGCATTGTGGCAGGCACCTGTAGTCCCAACTACTTGGGAGGCTGAGGCAGGAGAATCGCTAAAGCCCAGAAGTTTGAGGTTGCTGTGAGGTATAATGCCACGGTACTCTACTGAGGGCTATATAGCAAGACTGTCTCAAAAAAACAACAAAAAAAGAAGATCATGAACAACACGTTTTAAAAAAACATGAGTTCATAACTGTGTTTTAAAAACAAAGGTGAGACTCAGCGTTGTAGCTCAGTAGTTAGGGCCCTGGCCACATACACTGGGGCTGGTTGGTTTAAACCTGGCCTGGGCCAGCTAAACAGCAATGAAAATATACTGCAACAAAAATATACTTGGCTGTTGCGGTGGGTGCCTGTAGTCCCAACTGCTTGGGAGGCTAAGGCAAGAGAATTGCTTAAGCCCAAGAGTTTGAGGTTGCTATGAGCTGTGACACCATGGCACTTACCAAGGGCAACATAGTGAGACTCTGTCTCAAAATAAATAAATAAAATAAAATAAAATAAAAAGGTGAGGGACAGGAAAATTCTTCATGAAGGAATGTCAGCTAAAAAATGTAAAAGGGGCTCGGCGCCTATAGCTCAACCAGCTAAGGCGCCAGCCACGTACACCTAAGGTGGCGGGTTC